AAAAAGTGAGAAGATTGACGTCGCATTGATCCAATATCTGCAGCACCTTCACAGCTAATTTTCTGGTTGCCTAGGCATTAGTTTTCAGGTTCAATATTCACATGGGAGTATTGCTGCTAACAAGCGGTATAAAGGAATATTTGATGCTCTCGTTCGCGTACCCAAAGAGCAGGGCTTTTTTTCGTTTTGGAGAGGAAACTTGACAAATGTGATGCGCTACTTCCCAACGCAGGTAAATTCGAGTCATTTGATAACTTCTCAGTTTTCAATTTCAGTGCTTTAATTTAAGGCGTTGAATTTCGCCTTCAATGATCTCTATAAGTCCATTTTGCTGAAGGAAGTTGATCGGAGTGAGGTACAGTTATTATACGACAGTTTTCAGCTTTTTTTCCTACAAAACTCAACTCATGCCGTTCAGACTTTTTGGAAGTACACCTCACGTTCCTTAGTCTGTGGTGGTATGGCCGGTTCTACAACATTATGTTTCGTATACCCATTAGATTTCATTCGTACGAGGTTGTCGGTTGATGTAGGGACGCACAAGTTCAATAGGGATTATACGGTAAGCCTTAATCTATCAGTGATAGAAGTGGACTCGCAAAACCGCTATTTTAAGGGGTTTATGGATTGCTTCAGAAAAACATTGCACGTCGATGGCTTTTTCGGCTTGTATAGAGGCTTTTTCATTTCAATCCAGGTGAGTATGCCTTCTTTGATAAATGTCCAACATTTTTTATCCTTTTGTATGACTGTGTATTTTCTTTTTTCAAACTTTTCTTTGTTTTTTTCGAATCTAGAGCTGTGTCTATACTTCAAACATCTCCTTGCACTTTGCACTCCATGTGACTGAAAGTGACTCAACAGAGATTTGTGTGTCTCCATTCTGTAAAAACAAAGAAACCACGAATTGACCCTTCCACTAACCGCACCAATTTTTCGACGCTTTGGAGATTTCTCCATGTTATTTTATGTTCAGTTCTATAGGAGCTACCTGATAATTCTTTTTTGTAAAGCTTAAGGTGTGATGGCTATAGGGCATGTAGGTAGAATGTTCTTCTTCAAAAGTTGTTCCATTGGTATTCCCATTTTGTTGAATTGTGATAGGCGAAATCTAGATTTGAATAGGGAATCGTTGGTGGCACGTGGTGCCGCGCTATACAATGACGTGTCTTATGAGTGCAGATGCCTATAAGCTCTTTGTCATATGAACAAAGCGCTTCACCCAATCGTGGCCTTCTTTTGACATGCATCATTGATTGTTTGCAAACCACTCAATTCGTTTTACTCACGTTAGCTTAAATCCATATTTGCCCTCTCCGTGTAAAGATAAGGAATCATTGTAACAAACCGTCGTTCACATTGGGGACGCAAATAAGGGATAAGGTTTCTGGCATTGATTGCTTTGATTTTGATGCATAGGCGATGAATCCTGCTTCTATTCAAAATCGTAGACGCTTAATATGTGTATGCTTAATAGTGCACACTGTTCATGGGCGGAATCGCGGGAACGGTAACGTGCCCTGACTGTCCCTGGACAATGTCGCATGCCAATCGTATGTTCCTGACGGTCCGAGCAGCTTCTTATCCATCCTAAAGACATAAGTAGGACTCATTCGACCTTGAAGTGTAGCAGGCAAAACTCGAGTCTAAAAAAAGGGGAGCTCAATCGAGCCTTGTTGTCCCTCTTGAACTTTTTTGTTTGGTCGCTCCTGATATTATAAACTAAGTCATCACTACACTGCTGATTTTTTGCCTTAGTTTTCATTAGAATAAAAGGAAAAATGCGCTCAAAGTGGAAGAGGTTGGAATTCAAAAATTGCTGTGCATGCTCGAAGAATTTCATTATATGAAGTGGTTTTGTATTAGCGTTAAACTGCGAGTGTTGGATTGGGAATCATTTCCGGATTTGAGGGTATTTTCCAAACACGTCATTCTGATCTAAGGAAGGCTTCGAATCTACTGTTCGCTACGAAGTTGTAGGCAATTCAAAAGCATAGTTCTTCGTACTTGTTCCGTTATCCTTTTGCCAATAATACTATTCTTCTTTCTCTC